ACTTGCAACCCATCTTTTTAATACATTATTTTAGAAAAATATTAGTGATTGTAAAAGACAAGTTACTTAAAAAAAAAAATTTAAGCATAACTTAATGCTTTTTTCTTAATCGATGTTATAATATATTAACTATGTCTATTACTTAAACAAAACGTTGCTGACGTCATCACTATCCACATGTCACTCTCATAATAAAAATTTTCCCACATTGATGATGTCATCTTTATTTTTTTATTTTTTTTTTTTGGGAGCTATCATATTTAATAATTTTGAAATTTGAATATTGGAAGCTTCTACATTACAACTACAACCTATCAATTTATCCTTAAAAAATGAAATAATTTTAAGTAGCACACTAATAAATAGACTCCTACATTAAAGTATGTATTACATGACGTTAAACAGGTATTATATCATAATTTTGATGAAAATAAAATTTTAAAAGTACAATATTTTTGTACAAGGTTCATAATTCTTATTTATATTTATCCATTTTTTTAAAAAATGTACAAATTATATATAAAAAAAAGATTTTATATAAACCGTGCATCGCACAGGTTATAACCTAGTTAATTAAACTAATCTATCCGTTTACTTGATGACTTAACCTAATGGCTTTTTAAAACTGCGAATTTATCCATCATAAACCTATCCCAAATTCGACTCGGCACAACTTGAACTAAAATTAAATTATACCTGATTTTGACTTAATGAAACCAACATGAATTCAAGTATAAACGTTCCGACATAACACAGATCGATCTTGACTCAAATCCAAACCTAATTCGGTGTCTAAATTGACCCAACATGCACGAACTAAATATAATTTTAAGATCTGACATGATCTAAACTGAACACTTAGCTTAAATACCCAAATTAATAGCTCTACAATACATAAAAGGGCAAAATATCAATCAAAATCCTTCCAAAATTCTCTCAAAAATATCAATACAGTTGTCTAATTCAATAGGTTTACAAAAAAAATACTCATTTATAAATAACCTTTACATGAATTACATCTAATATCAAACAATTTTGCTGAAATAAAAAAACTCCTATGATCATAGAAGCTCACCTCTCAATTAACATTAAACAGTGAATTACGGAATTTTATGTTACATGCCCATTTTAATTGGAATTTTGAAGAATTTCAGGAACTTCTGTTGCTGCACGTGCGCCGACCCTCTCTTTTTAACCGTGTGAAGCTTCTTCCAAAATCTGTCCTTAGGTGCACGTGTGCATCAACATCAAATGTGGGGCCCACCTTCATGAGCCACAACATTAATTAGTTCCCGTCAACTAAGTTGGACCGTTCAATCTTATGTTATTAGCTTAACAACTCACACACTATATAATCGTACCAATAAATCAATAATGTTTATATTTATGCATCCACCTTTTTACTTTACTTTTAATTTGACCATATTTATCACGTTCCAAATGAAAGACGTAACTTTGCATTATTTCTCATGCAAAAAGCAAAATTAATCCAATTAAGTAAAAGTATTCCAATCTCTTATCTTTTTCTCCCTCCAATTGTGGCTAATTAGGTGTTAAGATAGGTAATGATGATTGAATTTAACTTTGTAGTTTGACTCAATGTATCATGATCACCTTGAATTTGTTGAATTAATTTCCCAATAATTATTGTTAGGCGAGCTCTCCCGATCTTCTAATGTATTGTGTGCCGTGAGAGTTTAACATTCATAATTAATTTTATTATCTTGGTAAAAATATTTATCTTGAACCTTACTACAATGATGTAGCATAAATTACAAATAATAACCAAATATAATTCAAAGTCACACCTTTAAATGTTGACTTATATATGTAATTTAAGGTGACTAAACCATATCAGTGGTACATACGTACCCAACAAATTCTCTGATACAAACATCATAATTCTATTTATATCGGTCAAAAACTATTTACAAGACATAATTTATGGCGTTCTCTCCGCCATCAAAAGATTTATCTTTTACATCTAACTAATTCAATAATCTTAATTAATTTGCATCAAAAAAATAATCTTAATTAATTTGGCTTATTCCAAGAATCAAACTTCCAAACAAAAACATTTTGATTGTTTTACTAGTTAAGAGTTCGTGGGGGTACTCAACTTGTAAGTCAGAGTCATAGACTCGTTAAAGAAACTTCGTGGAAACACGTTATTTCATCTAACCCTTAGTTTATATACTATATAAATCCAATCCATCAAAAATCCTTTCTTTGGTATATTCAAACACATACAATTTCCTCATCAAAATTCTCCAATTATTTTCAAACAGCATAAACCAAGAAAAACATAAAAAAATTTACATATTAATATTTGTTAAATCATGGGTTTTTCAGAATTAGATTCATCAAAGTGTAGAAGACATCCAAATCCAAAGCAAGTTCCAGGAGTTTGTGCATCATGTTTAAGAGAAAAACTATTAAAAGTTAGCTCATCCCCTTCATTCAACCGTAAAAGCACAACTTTTATCTCTTATACATCCTCAGCCACCTCGTCGCCGCCGTATTCAACCGCATCTTCTTCATCTGCCACCACTGCTACAAGAAAATCTCCGGGGAGCCGCCACCGGAGAAACGGGTCCAAAGCGTACGTATCGGTTGGGATGGTATTGAATAATGGGTTAAAGAAGAGCAGGTCAGTTAGTTGTGCTCCTCTATCAAAACACAAGATTGATTGTGTTAATAGTGAGAAAAATAATATTATTGGTGGGAAAAATAATAATAATTTTGTAGTAGATGGTATTTTAGAAGAAGGGAATTTGAAGAAGAAAAATGGGTTTTTGAAGAAATTGATTAATTCTACAAGTAAGAAGACAAAAGGGGTTTTGACACACTCAAAAACTATGAAAGAAAGGTCTCATAATTCTTCTATTGTTAATGCAATTACAAAGAATTATAAGAATTAGGTTTTTTTTAATTAATTGTTACAATCCACTTTTTTCTTTTCTTTCTTTTTATGTAATTTTGTTTATTTTTGATGTTTTTATGTATGTATATCCAAGAAGGGGTAATAATTTTAAGGATAACCCTTTTTTTTTTTTTTTTCTTGTTTGGTACATATAAAAATATATATTCTATATGCTTCAACCTTTAATTTAGGGGAAGATGAATATATGTATGGTGTTCTTGAAGTTTGTATAGATTTTTTCTACCATGTTGATGTACCATGACAAAGAATTTGGGCTTTTTCTCTTGGAAAGGAGTGTTCGACTTTTACTTTTCTTCCTATTGCGGTTTCTCTTACTTTCCCTGCCTAATTAAGTCTGCAAAATGTTAAAATATTGATTTTAGATAAGTTTTGTTTTGATTGTATTTTTATTCTAAAAAATATTACTCACTTCTGTTGAAAAATCAACTAATAGATGGAAGTAAAATTTCACGTAAATATGTTTTACCTATATACAATGTTATTTGAATTAGGGATATTCAAGTATTGCATAATCTCAGCTCAATTATTGATCATCAAAATTGAGTTTGACAAAAACTTGGAAAAAAGAGGCCAGGACTCAATAAGATAGAATGCCAAAGCAAACTTGAAGGATTATTCTTACCATCCCACATAAAAGAGTTATATATAGATCACAAAATCAACATTAGGGGGCATTGTGCGCAGTGTGCTATCATAGATTTTGGCATGTCTTTCTTTTCATGAAAATCATGGAAGACAAATAATACATTGAAACAAATTTAACAAAATCTCACATGATGATTTTATATAATGGGAAATAAATACTTTTATTGGTTGAACCTTAAATATGAGTATTGTTGCCCAAGGAGTAGAAAAACCCTTAATATTGAATAACAAAAGGCACAAGCTAAAAAAAAAGAAGGGAATTTAACTTTAACATGAATATTGACACGAGTGATTCTCCGATTAGTATTGACTCGAGTGAAAATATAATTATATAAGGCAAATTATGTTAAAGAATTCAAATGTGCGGCTAAAAGAAATAATAATAATAACAACAAATAAATATATTGTCATTGTATATATCGATATATAAGATCTCTTTTGCATTAAAAGTTCCTTTCAAATAAAGTCTTTAGATTCTGCACTTTGCCTCGTTAATTGAAAATATAAACAATACTTCATAATAGTTATTCTCCCATGGATCTTCCTAACTTTTGACGAGATCCTCCTCTTTTTTATACAATAATAGTTTAATGAGGATCTTGCTAACGAGCGCCCCGGGGCATTAGATAAGAAACAATTATATTTGTTAAAATAGTATTAAATTAGGAATGCATGACAAAATCACGCGTCGTTCGGTATAATTAATGTTAGTTTTACTCTAATATTTCCACTTTTAATTCTCTTATCTAACGCCCGGGGATGCCACTCATTAGCTTTTGCCTTTTAATATTTAATATGTGCATATTTATAGATGTGATCAGGCGGCTTTTAATTTAACTCTGGCAATAACCCATGTAAGGAGCAGAAAAGTTTGAGCAAGGCAAAATCAATTTAGCAAGGTCATACTTTCTTCGACTACCGTCTTTTTTCATACTTTCTATGGAACTTTTTTGCCTCGAAAAAACATATCATATAGATTTGTAAGAACAAAAAAATACGGAGGGAGTAACTCGTAAACTTGGTTGTCGACAACCGTCCAAGTGCTTTCCTTGATCAATGACCATCACATCAAGTTGTTTGCGCTAGTAATAGTCGGCAAATTTATTAGCTAAGTTTCCATACATTTAAAGTACACGCTCGACTTACTTGTGTACACTGTACCGCACATATATTGTTGCATCTTATTTCACAAATCAATACAGAGTACTTTAATATGGAATCATTAGAGAGCAGTGCTGCTAATCTACATCAAATTATGTCATTAATCCCAATATACAAGAGGTGATCATCGATCATGGCCTCGACAAAAAAGATAAATGCATATTAAGCAATGAAGTTGATGAGTCGATGAAGATACTAATAAGGTTTTAGAAGAGCTACCGTAATAATCTGATGTACATCACAACATCAATTAGGGATGTGGGGCGAAGAAGCCCCAGTTGAAAACAAATTTCACTAGTATATATCGATTTCCAGATACACATACAAAATTGGCTATTATAGGAAAAGTACCAAACCTAATATGCTTTCATATAAGTATACAAAAATATTTTCTCGTGTATTGGGTTTCTTCAGGGTATGAATCATCTTTCACAATGTATACATAATTCATTGTTACCCTATGAGTCAGTTCTAGTTAATCAGCTGCAATATGGCAACAGCAAATAATCCCACAACAGCAGAATCACAGGGTGCAGCAAAAATTTGTGAGCTCATGCGCGGGCATTTGACCTTTTCACTAAGACCTATACAATGATCTCAAGCACTCTGCCTGCGACACAGTTCCTATACATATAGGGAGTAGCTCTTAATTACACAGAATGTCATCTTTTTGAACCTGACTTCCTAATCTCAGTATCATTATCATCATCGTAATCATCATCGTAAACATATGTTGTGCTATCTACAGTAGGACGTTTCAATCTCTGGAATATTTCATCCAGAGACTCAGAAGAAGAATTATGGGAGAGAAGTTTTGGTTCCTGGGATTGTTTTAGAGGAAGAAATTTCTTTGCCTCAAGGTTTGTCTTGAAATTGTTAAAACCCATTTTCATTGACTGCCATGTGGAAGACATGCCAGAAGATGTGCGTCTTAGGTCATTTGCTGAACTGGAAGTCTCAGAATTCAACAACGAGACCTTTGCGGCAGCTATAGTATTCTCTGCAGGTTTTGAGCTGGATGTTTGCTTGTTCTGCTCTCTCATTACAGCATACTTGTGGCCAATCACCTCCCTGTTCCCAATAGATTGCCAAGCTTCAGATTTTGATGTTTTCCCCATACTGCCTTTAATATCATTCATGGATGAAGATCCTTTCATCTCAACAGCAGGATCGCCCTAAAATAAGTTTGCATTAAGTTAATAAGTTATTGGCAACATAATCACATTCCCAAATGCATAGAAAGACTTGATAACCAAAAGATTATTCATGGTATGATCCCATAAAAATCAATACATAACAGGTATTCCTTCAAAATTTCTTTAAAAAAAAAATAATAATAATACCTTCGACTTTATGCCAGTCTCAACATCCACGCTGAGACCATTAAAGTTTCTTGCCAATGGTATAACCTGCTCACCAACTTTGTGTCCTTGTTCAAGCCAAGAACGTTCTGCACATCAGCAAGAAAGTTATAGCATTGATGGATGAACGGAAGGGGAGGAATTAAGAAGGAAGAAAAAGAGAGGAGAGGAGAGGTGTGGTTTTCATTTTTCTTCCAAATCTTTTCAGTAGTGGGATCTAATTAATTAGTGGAAGGAAAATGGACCCCCCCCCCTCCCCCTTTCCGGTAGCATATTCAAAGAAGGGGAAATAAATCCCTCACAACCTACCCTTCCTTCCAAATTCCCTCATCCAAATACACTATTATTGTAAGATAATGAAAGTATCACTAATCTAGTTGGCTAATAGGCTTTGAACAATTAGCTCTTGAACCATTGGATATGAGTAGCCACTAGAGGACAAACAAGATCGAAGGCATGGAGTTGTGCTATATTTTACCTTTCTGCAAGATGATCATTCCTGATGGATCAAAACCATCCAAGTCTTCAGCTTCACTTTGAAACCTGAGTCTTTTCCAACTTCCAAAAAAATTCATCACCCGATCAAAAAAGTTACTAGCAACCAGAATTGTGTAGACAACCATAATGAGAGGGTAAATTTTGTTAAATCTCCTCCCAAAAAAGGGGACAGCATCATCAATGTTGCCCATTCGCTGTTATAAAAGTTTGAAAGGAGTAGAATGGTTAGTCAATTGGATACTGCCAAAAAGCAACACTGATGAGCAAAGCACACCATACAAGGGTTGTACATTGGCTAACAACTCAGGCTTGACAATCAACACACAACTAGCAGGTCAGAAAATGGCTTCATGTGCAAAAATATCCAGTATGATTAGTGATTAATAATCCATTGATCCATTCTAATATTTCATGAGGAAATAATACTGGCATAACTATGAATGCAAGATTGGAGATGAGAAGCACCATCTTTAAAAACCATCAGAAAATATAAGTAAAAATAAATAAAGATGCAGTAATACGACAATACCCCATAACGTACTTGTGTGGGGGTATGGCTGCCAATTGAAGTACCCGTGTTTCATACTTTTGTAACTATTATAACATCAATTTCATCACAGGTGTTTGGCAACTCTTTACACACCTAAACCTTTTTTAAACATCATATCATAACATCACAGGAAAAAGACAGAAACCCAATTTTCTTAGTCTGCCAACTTCAAAGGTGTGCCCAATGTACATGTGCATTCCCACATTTGATCAATTGTAGCTGGCCCAAAGGTTTCCAGAATCCTATTGCAATGCTCCGAAAGGTAAATGGGACTCCACCATCCCCCTACCTACCCAACAAGGCAATAACCCTATTAAGGTCGAAAAATGTGCACTCACACATTGGACCAATTGTAGCCGGCCCAAAATTTCCAGAATCCTATTGCAATAGTCCAAAAGGTAAATGGGACTCCACCCCCAATGTATGTCCAGTTGTCCACTATATCAACTTTTCCATGCAGCCACATTTAACTCACTGATAATAAATGTCAGAAGTCAGAACCTAATGCTTTTTTATTGATTGAGAGTTACCTTTTCAAAGATAGTTTTAGCATTCCCATCAAGGCGGATAAGATTCAGAAAATTGTAAGAGACTGGTGGGGCATAACGAGCAACCATCCTGTGAAAAGAAAATACAGAATTACTAGCTTTTACTTGATAGTGGATTTTTTAATTTTTATGTAGATAATTCAAACTATTGCAACCACATCTCAAATTTTGAAGCCTATTCTCATACTAGAGAAATATCAAATGACTTACGAGCAAATCATAAGCAGGTTGACAGAGCTTGTTTGTCTTGGCGTTAGTGAGTAAAACATCAGCATTCCAATTTTGAGCAATGAATAATATGTACATATGCACATGTACATCAGAGGAATAAATGCAAAGACCTGCCAGCAAGCAAAAGGGGTACAATCAAATGCACATAATAGATAATCTCACATTAAATCCCCCACCCCACTATAGCTCATCGATTGTTTATGATTTCATCATGTATCAACAGATGAATTATAAAGAACTTCTAAACAATCAAACAATAACAAAAATTTTAATAGAAACATCCTGTAACTTGTATGTCCACCCCTTTTCTCCACAAGTTAGCACATAATGAAGAAAATGCAAGTCAAAATAAGCACACGGCATTAGTTATACAGCAAGATAATCAAGAAACAAATATTGGTTGTATGGAATAGCATTCCTACTTCAGAATTATGAAAGCCCACCAGCCTAAATATGGCCCCAACAACAGAATTTCGACCATTAATTTTTTTGCCACAAAAAGGGTGCAACTATGTAGCTGAATGATCGATGCTAAAAGCATCTCAAAGAAAGTTTTCCTAAAACGACGAATCTCCTTTGCAATTACACTCGTCAATCAGAATTTTCTAGGCATGAAATGACACGTGACACAACAAAGATAATGATGAAGAAAGAAAGAATAACAAGTATTGAAATAATTCTGCAGTACAATCATTCTGAGTACCTGCACAAATAACTCCCGTCTTCCCACAGATTTGATGAGGATTGAGAAAAGAGACAGATCAACATTGGGAAGTAGCGTCGCTTCAGCCAAAAGAATTGCCACTGACATGCAACCAAGTACGATAGCCAAAAGTTTCTGTAATTGCTTCCTCAAGATACAGCGCCATAATAGCTCTGGAAAGAACAACCATCTCTGTTAGCCTGATATTGCTTTTACCACAACCCGCTAGGAGAAAAAAAAATATAATATCTCTGTTGCTCCACTACAAACCAACATCATAAACGAGATCTTAAGGAAATGCATTTTTTTTACAAAAAATATGCTTACATCTGAAGCAATAGAAAAACATTTGACTATCAACCAAGCTTCTCACAAGAAATTTCATTTCACATTTTGCAATATACAGCTATTCAAATGTGAAAAGCTTTGGAAGTTCTAGTATTACCAATAGTATCTAAGAAGGAGCCAATTCTGCCAGGACGACTGCCTCTCAGGCTTGAAATAAATTTCCTGCAAGTACAATTCAAGTTACAATGATAAGGAAGATTTGTGTGGATGACTATACGGAATAATCACTTTTGATCCATGTAGCCGACCCCACTTACGGGATTAAGGCCTTGATTGATTGATTGACAATTCAAGTTACAGTGACTATAAAAAAACTACCTTTACCAAAAATATAAAAACAAATGCATGTGAAAACTTTAACATATGAAATGAATTTCAAGAATATCAATAACAAATTGATGCATGACTATTTAGCGTGGCAAACCAATATAAGCAATTAACAAATACCACTTTGGAGAGGAGAGTAGCATTCTTTTAACTTCTGACCTTTACATTAGGTACAGTTCCAACATTCTGTCCCAGAAAATATATGGAAAAGAAAAGGAAAAGAGCCATGAAAAAATGAGATATATCCAACAGATATGAGCTAAACATTTGGCAGTAGGCATACATGCAACCCAGCCTAGTTTTAGAATAACTCACAAGAACAAATTGGTCTTTCACCTCCCCACTAGCTTTTTCCTCAACCACATCATCAGCTTATATATAAGCCACAACTCTCAACTTTGAGGTCCAACAAGTGGTATCTTTTCCATCACCTCCCAACAAAACTAACACAGTCATACAGATGATATTCTGGCAATGAGCACCCCTGGGAAAAGTTCCTCATATCCTTTCCTTAAAAAATTCACATCTTCATCTAAAGAATGCCTACACTGATTTCCTCTTTATGACTTCAAAATTAAGAGAAGTATCTCCAGATCCAAAGAAAAACTCCTCCATCCCACTTGGGAACTTTAAATATCAAGCAATTCCCAATGTGGTTCAGGAGGAAGCATCTTGGAGAATAACATGTCACCACCTCATAACAAATCAGTTATACAAAGAGAGTGTTTGGCAAAGTAAAGATAAGGGAAATAAAGAATAGATTCAACTTTTAATACCCCCTCCATTCCTAAAAATTCGACTCACTTTCCAATCAAATTATTAGCAGCAAAAGCATGTCAAAATATCAATTTAAATCCTATAAGTGGAAAGAGAAGTGATGACATACCATCCATTAGCATGACGTCGTTCATAGTTTTTGATGGTGTCTTCCAACTCAAGGGCCTCCAAGACATATGTCATATATTCACTAAAAAGAAAATAAATAATTAACCCAAGGAAAAAATAACCTTCCAAATGAAAGAATTTACAACCATCATTTACAGCTTTAATTGAGAATGCCAGCAATAGGACATGTAATCGTATCATAAATAAGTTCCTGAGTCGAGTAACATAACAAAGAAGTGACACGATGCAAATCACAGCATTTGTCAAAAAATATGTCACAAAGCAATAGCATCTAATTACACCAGTAAAATAAACAAATTAAATCTACATATTTTACATTTGGCATACATAGACTCCTTTTTATTCTCAGACCAATTTACCTTTTGTACCGATAATACTCCTCTTGTGCTACTCTAAGTTGACGCCTAAGCTGAGCCATTGATTTATCATCTGCATCATAATCCATGTCATTTTCACCCAATCTCCCTCCTTGAGGCTTGAAGGATGGATCTTCTTTGAACTGACATAAGTGATAATTAGAAATTAAGAGCTAAACTAAGAAATAATTCATTTTCTAGTGTACAATCAAGAAAGAAGAGTTGCTATACCATTTCAGTCAACATCTTATCAATTACATCCATGTAAGGCCGTAAAGGATCACGCTTCGACATTTGATTAGAGGTTGCTTGAGCAACCTAACAGAGAATAGAATAGTTAAGGTAACAGCAAAGATGTAAAGAAAACAATTAAAGAATTTATCAGCATTCATAAACTATGAGGAATCACAGTATATCCAAAGCAATAGATACACATTGTATCAATGAAAGTGAATAAAATATCCATTTCAAAAAAAAAAAAAAAAATTGCAAACCACCAAAAGGAAAACCAACTCCAAAAATTTGCACTTGAAGACTATGTATGACCCAAAATCCAAGATAAAATTACGGTAAAAGCCATAAAGCTGACACTACATTCCTCTTCTTCAATTAATTAAACTACTAATTTTTTTTTTTAAATGCCAACTTTGTAGGGGTCTTCCCAAATTGACCCATATGAGAACAACAGGAAACAGCCACATCAAAGCAACAGCCTTATCCACAACAATCATCCTCCATTTGCTTCTATCTAATGCAACATCACCTTGTAAGCCCATTTTCTTCATGTCCTTCCCTTCAGATGCCATCACCCCAACCTTCAACCTTCCTTATAGTGTGTTTGGATTGAAGGAAATGGAGGGAAAGGAAGGGAAGGGAAATGGAGGGAGGGAGTTTCTTTCATTTGGATAAAAAATTAGGGATGAAGGGAATTAGAGGGGAGAGAAATGGAGGGATTAAATTCTAAGAAAATGATCCCTCCAACAATGGAGAGATTTGGAGGGAAAACTCATCCTTCTTCCTTCCCCTTCCCTCCCCTTCACCTCCCTCCCTTTCTTTTCCTTCCCTTGACATTACCCAAACAAACTGTTAGGGTGCATCTTTTGGTCAATGTCTCTCATGTTCATCAAAACTGAGAATCTCTAATCTTTAATATGTGCAAGCCCAACTTTCATCCAAACATTTTCATTCCTGATTCTATCCCTTAACTTGTTCCCGCACGTCTATCTCATTATACACATCTTTAATTTACTTGTCTTTTTAAGGCGATTGTTTATGAAACAGGTAAACATATTGTTTTTACTCATTTCGAGGAACTTATATTTCCTCTCTCCTTTCTCTCTTCTCTCCATCACCACCCCCCTCTTGTCAGCTCATCATGACCAGTTGACCACCCCACAAGCTCTTTCCCACTAGATCCAAGAACCACCACAAGTCCCCTGCTGTCCTGATCCCACGTCCAAAGCAATCATCATATCACCATTACTCCCTCCACCACTAACAAAATTACTCCATCAAGATCCGAACCTTCACCCACCAAACCAGCAGACCTCTTTGATATTAAAGCACAAGAATCAGTTGCCTATTTCTCCCACAAACAATTATTCATCTCTCTCCTTGCTCAATCCTCAATCATCAACTTACTCAATTGAGATAAAGTTGGTCACAATTGATGCTTCCGTCATGAAATTATTCTTACTCCACCCTATAAAGTATATCAAGACTGTAAAGGTGATTGATTTATTACCTTTGTGATCATAATCTTAGGTGGTGGGTTATTTGTCAGATTCTTGGTTTTACTGAAAGGTGCATAAGAGATTATTTCCGAGAAACTGGTAATTTCTCAAAAAGTAAGTTCACTTATTTTTGTAATTTCTCTTCAAAGCATATAAACATAGCATCTGGAATTTCCCAATTCAATGTTGAGCTCCATAAAACTTTATTTAAATAGCCATCTAGGTAAAGTTCATTTTCCCCCATCAACAGAATTCATCTGATCATCTGGATAAGTAGGGAAAAGAGTGGAGGAATGATGGTGGCATTAGAGTTTGGTCTTGGACCTCTTGGTGGACTTTCGGCAGAGGGCTGGCCTTAACGAAATAAAGGAAGGGGTAGGTATTATGTGTTGTGGCTGGAGATGGTGACAGAAAAATAAGAGGGGTGGCTGGGCTGTAGTGGGTGGTGCAGGAGGGTTGAGTGGAGAAGAGGGTGGAATTCAACTGATTATAAAAATCAAAGAACCAATGTTAATATCCCAAGCCACTTTCACTTACTAAACAGTAAACATGTTACTTAAGCTGACAGCTGATTTATGAAGAAACAACCCATATTAAGAGTCATGGGACTACTCCCAATTAATCAATAGATGGGACTAAAAGGAAAAGGGGCACAGTTGGGACAGTAGGTGTCACTTTATTTCCTACTACTCCCTCCGTCACAAAATAAAGCCCTATTTCTCCCAAAATCCATGCCCCTTAATAAAACCCAATTTTGCTTATGGGTGGGTTCATCATCCACTAACTTATTTCTATATTCACTTTAAATCATCAAAACCCATCTAACTCCACTATATTTTCTCACTTTCCCTAAACACAATAAAGTGTTTCCAGTTTCCCACTAATACTTTTAAATTTTTAATTCAACTTTAATCAACAATTCCCCAATACAATGTCTCTCCAACAAATATCGTGCCCTGGCAAAATTAGGCTTTTATTTAAGGAACCCCAAAACCATCTTGTAACTCTTGCTGAGACCAAATCACCAAAAGGTCTCCCTTCACCTTACTCTGGGATTAGTTGCTCATAACATGGCATAAAACAAGTGTACTTAATTTCTTGCCCTTCCTAGGAGTTTTAAGATCCAATACATATAATATTTTATCAAACAGCAACGAAATTTCCTGCAGCATCAGATTCTAAGGTCATCTTGAGCAATGCCTACACAAAAACTCTAAAATCCACCAAACTTTCAAAGCAAGGATTGTAAATCACAATAAGGGAGCCTAGCCTTCCTTGAAGTCTTAAAGATCACACAGATCATATCCTAAGTCATCTATATCAAAGATTTGCAAGGAAAAGCCCAAGCCTACTTCATAACATTCTACTCCCTTCTCTCCCCATTTAAGTAATAGCTTTTCTTTCAATAGTATCCCTACGATGTCTAGATGGGGAGGATATGAAAACAAAAGACAATGCATTATGATTTCATCATTTGCAATATCAAGAAAAATCCAAAGTGAGAATAAGAGACTTCAATTTTGGAAAATAAATATATTGCAAGACTTTCACCTAGAGAAATTGCAAGTCCGGAGAAGAACTCTAGCATGCCAACTATCTAGGAAATCCACTGGAGCACAAACCAATATTCATTAACAAGGGGCCTAGAACATCCCTATGCCCAATCCTGCTTCCCCAATAATGCTAACATGGAAAATGTGCCAAAACCTACATTACAGGGCTTAAAGGGGTCTTGAGTCGCCAAACCAGAAATTATAGCTAGTTAACACTTGAATGTGTCTGTGTGTGTTATGGATGTGATCCAAGGAAGGCTCCACATTAAATACATAGGCGTAGATGGAAAACAGAAGGATTCAGCTTGAGTGAGTAACAGAAAATTTTGATGTCAAAGGATAAAAGGAACTAAGGAAGAGCAACTCTTTATTGTAATTTCATATAGTGTGACAAAACTGCTATATGAACTCTTCATACCTTAAAAGGCCGCAAAAATATTAACATTTTTCATTTGAATTATAAAATATATCAAAAAATTATTGGAAAAGGGTAAAGTCTGACACTTGAACACGTAAAACATATTTAAGGTGCCAGTTCTATATGACAAAGTAGAAGCTTACCACAATTGCATTTGAGAAGTTCTGATGAGCCTCATCCAGTTTCGAAGCCATTTTTGCAATCTTATGGGACAATAGTTTCTGCCGAAATGTCCAGTCTGCATTCTTCCAGAGGCTTCGGGGAATTTCACTTAAACCAAAACCGAGTAAAAAGGCTCCAGTAACAAGTCCGAACGTGTTTGAACAAGCCATTGCAAAACCAAGAACACCTCCTTTCCTGGTTCAACCCCACATAAAAAAGGGTGTCAGGCAGCAAAAGATACAATATTTCCATATAGGTCTTTGACAACCTTTTAAGAACGGAAAAAATATATAAGAAAAAGGTAGCAACTGACAGCTTTCTGCGCATAGTGAAAAGAAGTATCAGTCCAAGAAGACCAATAGATCCAACGATAAGATAAAAGACAAGGTTCACATGTACACTTGTTTTTAATCTTTCCGTCAATGTGAAGTCTCCAGCATCTTCATAACCCTGGATAAGGGGCACCACAGCCCTGCTTAGCAAAATCACATAATCCAAACATATAAGGCTATCTGAATCACTGAGTTCTTAAAATTTATAAACATATGCGTTGCATCATTTTCTGCATCAGCAATAAGAAAATCCCCAATAATGACAGTAACACATTTGGTCTAGAATCATACCAAGTTAACAAAAATGTGCTCCAATACGACCAGCTCCACAAGAATGAAATGACCCCATTGTAGTGACCATTAACTGTCTGCAGGAACAATATCAACAACTTAGAGTAAATCTTTATAAGAAGCTATTATCCTACTCCACTCTTAAAAAGCCTGTAGCATATTCAACACTTGAAACAAAGCCTGAAGGGAACAGAAATAGCATATTTTCAAAGAATCCTTGCAAAAAAAAAAAAAAAAAAAAAAGAAACCGAAAATAAAGCGTTGCATGATATCGAGGACGAGAACACAGATGTTCAAGAAAGCTGTTAAGAAACTAGAGCTTCATATCCTGTCATTCTATACAATCAATCAATCAAAGCCTTAATCCCATAATTGGGTCGGCTACATGAAACAAATTTGATTATTCCGTGTAGTCATCCACAAAAATCTTCCTCCTACATCCCTTACGATCCAATGCTTTATCCTCATGCAAATCCATATACTTCATATCCTTCCTAACTCTTTCCAACCAAGTCATTTTCAGTCTCCCTCTCCCTCTCCCTCGTTTAACCCCTCTATGGTCCCACTCTTCCACTCTTGGAACCAGTGCACCCTCGAGTCTCTGTCTTACATGCTCAAACCAACGCAGGCAATTTTCCCTTACGATCCATCCCTTAAGATCCAATGCTTCATCCTCATGCAAATCCATATACTTCATATTCTTCCTAACTCCTTCCAACCAAGTCATTTTCGGTCTCCCTCTCCCTCGTTTAACCCCTCCATGGTCCCACTCTTCCACTCTTGGAACCGGTGCACCCTCGAGTCTCCGTCCTACATGCCCAAACCAACGCAGGCAATTTTTCCTTAGTTTGTATGCAATGCCTACCACACCTACTTTCTTGCGGATAACCTCATTTCTGATTCTATCTCTTAGAGTGTTCCTGCACATTCACCTTAACATGCGCATTTCTGTAACCTCCATCTTTTTAATGTGCTCCTTTTTAGAAGCCCAACATTCTGTACCATAGAGCAACACTGGTCTTATGGCAGTCTTGTAGAATTTTCCCTTCAACTGTAAGGGAATGCTTTGATCACATGAAAAAAATCATCTGTACATCACATGAAAAAATCATGGACCTTTCTGCTTACCCTAAGTCCCTAACAAATCCAAATTGTCAAAAGATAACTCAAAGAATATATTATTTCAGCACACTTCTTAAGACTGTTAGGATACATGATCTGCATAGCAGTATAAACAACTCAGAGGCATATAATTAGCATTTACAACTGACTTTGTAGAAAGAGCATAGCAGCACCCTTCACCAATTTAAATTTAAACAAGCCAATAACTTATCCTTTGCTATTACACACACCAAAAAAATTACTCCGTAAATGCTAGCATTTGGATATCCTTATGGAATATGAAATTAACATTATTTATCTTCCTCTTTGACGTGCACATACATCCTTTAACCTACAAAATTGTCGTGTTCAGAAATGAACGGGAGTCTAGTGACTTCAATCAATAATGTGCACGTCACTGGACTAGCAGTCCAATAAACCTTCCAAGTGCACTTTAGTAATGGATGACACCTACTTATTTACTTCATCTCCGGCTTCCTAACCTAAAGTTCATTACAAAATTCCTATCAAAAGCATCTCTTTTCCATGACCACTTCCCAAGCACGAGCAGTCGAGCACAAACTTCTAACCAGCAAAATCGAAACCGATTCAAAACACACACAAAAAATTAACCTCATATCCCCACTTCCTAAGCTGGTATTCTCCTCCAAAAGATAAATCCAGTGCAATCTAAATCAAACATCACTAAAACACCAATATCCGAAACAAAAAAAGGCTCAAATATACCAACAAATGCAATCCATGCAAACCTAAATCAGATCCCAATTTATGATCACCCCACCAAAAAGAGCTTCGATCACAAAATTCAAAATTAAACCCTAATTAAACATCCAAGTAATCAAAATCCAGAAATTCAACCAAATTAAACAATCAATCAACCAAAATACAACCCAAAAAACAAAACAAAATCAAAAGAGGAGAGAGAAAATACCGTCCAAATGTCGGCAGGGACAAGAATGATAATAGAAAGAGAACAAAACCAAGCATAACCAACAGTAAGGAAGACATATCGAGGAACATGAGGTCCAGCAAAGTATTTTAGGGTTATTACAACCATCCCCAATGTCATCGGCAACGATATCAGGTAAAACACCCACATCTTCTTCTTCTTCTTCTACCTTCCGACTACCAAATTTTCCCTCTTTTTCTCGTAATTCGATAAATTAGGGTTTTGAAATGAGATTGTGAAGTTGAAGCTTGAAGAACACAAAAATGGCGGTTTTTTTGTTCAATTTGATCGACAAAATTTGCAGGAAAATGTTGAAAAAAATGTTTTCCTGCAACAAGACGACTTTGCGTCTTTTTTTTTTTAATTAATTTTGTTTTGCTTAAAGGAGGTGAATTTGTTGGGTCTAGTCAGCAGTTAAAAGTGGACCCACTGAAGTTACACGACGTAGTTTGGTGCGTTTCAAAGATGTGGGCTTGTTTAGTGGACCTAGTCTTCTTCTACCTATTACGAGTACCATATTTATATTCTAGATTAATGGAGCGTGATCTTCGGAGTAACTTGTAAATCTAACTTGATCTAACAAATTTAATTTTGGTTTTTTATTACTCGTTGAGAGTGACTTGTACAAAGTCTTAATACTCCGTTCTAGGTATGGACTACAATGTGTGGATTCTCATTCATCACCCCAGATACATACAATTGGTTGGAATCAAATTTACTAGCCATGACCTTACAAATTGTATCCGTAATCAATTTTTAAAATCAAGTTTAATTAAACAAAAATTGTTGTCAAAGCCGAATTCAATATTAAGATAATGTTGTTAAAGTCGAATTCAACATTGATATAAGTTCTACGATTGTAGGAAGTATGGAGTAAATAAGTTTAGTGAAAGAAGAAAAAAACATGTCCAATTGTCCAAAAACACAAAAGAAAAGAAGTTTAATTTTGTTTATGCCAAAAATCGTTTAAAGAGACGACTTTTGGTTGGGATGTCGATAACTAGACTAAAAGAGATTGCGACATGTAAACGATGGAAATAGAAAGAAGATAGACACTATATGGTGACGCAAAAAACCCCAATAAAGGTGGGTAAAAATCGCGGGTGGCTACTTGTCTACCAATTCACTATGATACGGGTGTTATAGCCATTATTGATACAAATACAATGATTATTCGGGCGCCTAAGGCCAAAGATAGTAAAGAAATACATAAGAACAAGAGATTAAGTATACATTAAAGCCGTTGAGAAGAAGTATAAACGTTGGGTCGATCATCAAGACTTGTAGAATAATCGGATGAGACATGTCGTTGCTTAGATCATCGAATGGAGCCTTGTGACGTATCTTTTGATTATGTATTTTGTAGTGTATTGAATGTGGGTGTTTATATTTGGAATATGGTGTGAATCCTCCGCCTTTATGGCTGGTCGTTGCCCCCCTTTTATAGGCCTTTTGGTGGTAGAAATCGGTTGAGGAAGATAAGGGTGACTTCTTTGATTCTAGGAAGTAGTTGGTTGACTTCAAGACTTGGTCCTTGATGAATGTAGGCTGATTTAGACTTCATATTCATAATAACAAGTTCCTTAACTGATTAAAGGCTGGTAGAAATGCTCTCCTTATTTATAAGAACCACTAGTAACAACCTTGACTTGTTTCACAACTTTTTGGCGTCGCACTACGAGACGCGTCTTGTTCGAACGTCGTGCGTCATCTTCTGATGTCATCTGACGGTGTCAGTCGGAGGTCACTGGAGATCAACGGAGGTCATTATAGTTGTCAGGCGTCAAGTATTGACGCCCGTCACTGAGGTGCGTCATCACTAAGATGCGTCGTTGACGTCAGTTGTTGCTTGGACATGGACATTAGTCTCCTTGGCATTCTCCACCTAATTCAACCTTGAACACCAAGACTCGTCTAACATGCGACCGTCTTGGTAATAGGACAACCCTCACTTTGAGTCGTGGGAATTACGCCCATAACAAGTTTCTCTTTTTTTTTTTTACAAGTTAGAGTCTTTAAACTTGAGTGTTATAAATTAAAAAAAAAAACAACTGAGTGTTACTTTCTCTATTCCACAAATATTGCAGCAAGGATGAAATTACGCATCTTAAAACACATTTTATATGTTTAATATCTATAATTATATAAGTATAAAAAGTTGATATTGTAAAAGTATTTTACGAAACGAATCTAACAAGACCCCATATGACTATATTTTACTTTACATATAAATCATAACATGTGGTCAAACAAGCGTAATAAATAGTGCAAAAGTCACCAGAACGGAGGGATATAAATTATGTATTCCTAAAAAAAAAAAAAGGATTACTAAAATGTGAATTAAGTCCTTAGTTTGTGGGCTGTGCTACATAGCCCATGATGTGATTTGTAAAGGGCTTAAAGTTTTGATTATTAGTAGCCCATATATGATATAACCAAAGGCCATAGCAAGTTAGCAACGACCCAAAAGCACGGAATAAGGGATATTAATGGTTAAATGCATTGATGCCTACAAACTACGGTATAAAGCATGTATTCCTCCATTTTAAATTGGTTGACATTTTATTTATTTTTTGACATATTTGTTGGTGCATAATTTTAAATATTAATCTTTTCAATATGATCATTTGATAATCTAAAAATTATGCATTGAAGCAAATCTAACAATGCAAGACCTTATGTAATTTTGTTTTTTTGTTTTTTTTCTTAAGTAAAAATTACAAAAGTAAGTCAAAGAACAAATGTGTATAGTGTCAAACTCAAAACATGTCAAGTAACCTTTGTTGTAAATAAAAAGAAACAGAGGTCGTAAGAAATGAGGAAGTAAATATAGTATGGCAAAATTTAAGGATGGCTAAGGTTGGAATCCCAAAGAGGGCCTCGAGTAGGGTCTAGGGGGTTAGGTTTCTCCGATTAAAAGTAAAATACTATATATTAGCTTCAACAAATTTTTTGTCATATATTACCGGCCTAAAAAAAACCATGCTGATAGAGCCAAATACAAGATATCTTAAAAAACTTCACAAACAGAATTACGTAATATCTTCCTTATAACAAGTCACATAAAACTTCAGCAACATTCACGTTACATCCCATTTGCATGAAGGTGTTAGTTAATACCTAAAACTCACAATATTTATAACCCATCATAAGCAAAGAACTTAGACCAATAAATCAACTTAATATAAACTAATTATTTTATGATCATGTATATTCATTTTCGTCCTCAAATTATTATCATCTTAGATTTCATGGAAATGTGTTTGGAAAACCTCATTAAAATAGCGTGTCATACGTGCTTTGGATTGCAATTATACTTGATTAAATTGGCTCGTAAACGTCTTCGGTTGCTAATCCTCGAGGCTGAATTGCAGAGCATTGATCCCAATTATATCCTCCCACATGACGTACATAGATTGTGAATCTTTATTTTTTTCCCTTACAAATGTCGTTTACGTCGTCGTATCATGATAGAAAATTATTTTTACTTCTTGGTGAGTACCGACTTACCGAGTACGTATCTTGTTGTAGTCTATGATTATGACATAAAAGTAAATTAATTTTTTGATGAGTTATCTTGTCTATATGATTATATATCTTTTATTTTAATACGAAGTATGAAGTATGTATTAGCTGATAATGTTTGATTATTGATAGTTAAGGTTTTTTATTTTTTTTAGTATTGTTGTATGGGCCCATTTATAGTATTAAAGCTTTGATTGATTGATTGTTTTATGGGTGTTTTATAGTAAGATAGGTATTTTCTTCTTAGCTGAAGTAATTTAAAATTGAGGAGAGAACTAGAGGAAAATAAAGAACCGAAAATAACCTTTTTTATTTTTCTATTAATCAAATTGCTTTCAATCAGATTAGTCTTCACTCTTCAATTAATATCCCTTTTGGCGATTTTTTTTTTTAAAAAAGGAGATGAGAGATATTTGTTCAAATTTGGAGTAGTTTATAGTGGCGGATCTAAAGTGGTAAATAAAGATTAGTTGTTGTGGTAAACAAGTGATCTTATGCGAGATAAATCATTTAGTACATCTTTATCTCAAAATTTCAAGCCATAAATTTAATTTAGTGATTTCGAACATGCGTAGTAAATAGTAATAAATCACTTTATTTTTCAAGCATGAATTTAACATTCAAACTTTATTATGCTACCCTTAATAATACAAACATATAAGAATTAAGAATTTCAAAATCTTGCTAACGAATGACCGGATAAGCATTTAAAATATTTCCTATAATGGTATTAATTTGGAAATGCATGTTAAAATTACGCGTCAATCGGTGTAATTAATGTTAATTTTAATTTTAGATTTCTACTTTTAGATTTCTTATAATGCTCAGGTGTTTGTTATCTTTTGACTTTTGTCTTCCAATAGATATATATAAGTGCATTGTATGATTGGAGCCGTGGGTTTGTATAATTCTACATAAACATAAAGCACATTATTGAGGTATCTATATATGTTATTCAATTCCTTTATCTGTTAAAATGACCTTTAATCAAATGTTTCCTATAGTTTCAAAGTACTCATTAGAAAATAGACTTGACGTGGAAATGAATGCTTGCTTGGAGGGGCTTCAATGGGATGTCAAACGGATGATACGTGCTGTTATTATTTATACCGATTCAGCTTCTTTGGTTTACTCACTCAGGGATTTAAAGGGTTAGGATATTACTCTTAGATGGACGGTGGATCGTATCCGTCATCTCAGTGGGGACTTTGATTGGTGCAGCACTGCAGCGTTCACAAAGTGCAGCGAGACGTGGTCCAGAACGCCCACAACCTTGCCACGACTACAAACTCTAGTCTTACTTCTTTTAAATAATTTATGTAGTGTGTTGTTTAAGCTTATGTCCAAAAAAAAAAAAAAAAAAAAAAAAAAAAAAAAAAAAAAAAAAGGAAAATAGACCAGTTATCAAATAAAATTGAATTAATATATACGTGTAGGTTTTCAGAATTTTTTTACATTAATCTAGTATGGAGTATCTAATCAAATACCAAATGTAACTAATTTTAAATTCTAAAAATCCAACAAGATTGCGATTGACTTTGCATGATAACATAAAATATATATTTTTTTTTTTAAAAAAAAAAAAAAAACTCATAATATTTCTTTAATGATACACCAATCTACTTTATCATTTTTAAGCGTTTACTTATGCAAAGCTAATAAGGGAAAGCTATGGAGCTTCTTTTCAACTTGAGTATGTATGTACTATAACCATCATTATATTTATCCAAATTTTCATGCTCCTTTATCTTTATGTTCTCTCTGTTCACCCCTTTTTCACCTTAGAAATAGGGGCCATGGAGTGCTTTTAGATTGTTTATTATGACAAAGAGAAAGCTTATCCAATGTTAAGTAGATTTTCAACTACTCCGTAACAGTTACTTTGTTATTAATAGCATACGTACATTATTAATAAGCTATCGTAATCACTTATTATTTGCTAACGTTGAGAGAATGTG